ATTTAGCATGCCTATTATACAGATATTTGCACATTATCATATTATGGCAAACGATAGTCGACGAAGCATTCAAATTTCAAATGTTCACTCTATAGCTATTTAACTGTGATAGACATGTTTTAGCTAAATTTTAGATTTGTTTGACAATCATCGTCGAATCCGTAATATTTGAATGTCAGTTATTAGCCGTCTAAATATACGGAAGCAAAATTAAATCTTTTTTGAAACCATCGGCGTATAACGTTTTAAATAATAACTGGACGTGTGACGAGTTCGTAATATATGTTACACCCTATCGGTGAAATCGCCCAATTCACGAGATGACGTTATAATTATACTTTTCGTAATCATTTTGTCTGTTCGTTAAGAACAGTATTTGTCTATTACCGAACATAAAGGTAAGAACACTGTGTCCGAACGTTTCACGTTTTTTTCGATATTTTAATTTTCTAATAAGTTATGAATGTAAGAAATATTTAAAAATCATCATCTTCCGCTTAAAAATTTAAATCGATAACAAGCCAACGTAAAAATATAGACAACGTTCTTACCGTTAGGTTTGGTGATAGGCAAATACATCTTAATGTTAAAACTATTAGCACAAAATGAACGTAAAGTAAACATTTAAAGTTATTTCATGAATTGGGCAATTTCATCGATGGGAAGTAACATATATATAAACATAACTATATTAAATGTACATATATATTATATTACACTATGATTTAGTAACATTATATCAGCGTGTCCGAAAAACCGCGTTTATTAATTTGTAACGTCCCAAAAAACGATCGTCCGTAAAATCAACGTCGCAGCGTAACAAAAATAAAAAAAAAAACAACAACTTCCCATCATCACAACAAACTTCTTACAATTCATACTCTAAAGCAATTAAATAATAACACCGAAAATAGGTGGTTCGGTTGCCGGGGATCAAAAATGATAAATATAACGTACTCATTGTTGGAACCTAATAATAATAATAAAGAGATCATGCGATGTCATACTGAACCGAAGTTATATACGCCTATACATATACATAAAAAAAAAAAAAAATAATAACTAACCTAACAGTTGTCAATTGGTGACACTATCGATCGCAGTTGGCGATCCGACAAACAATGCCAGAGAGAATATATAGTATACATGTATGACGCGGTGAAAGGGCTACTTGATAAATATTTATTAAACAGAACAAAGAAAAAAAAAAAGTTCCGGGGTTCCGCATAGATATAACTATTCGATATGTGTGCGACCATACCAAGTAATCATATTACATGACGGGGTAAAACAGAAAAAAGGAAAAAAAAAACTATCTGAGAATAACCAAGAATCAGCATAGGGAAATGTTTTGCGTACCTAACGCCCCGTCGGTTGATAACAATAATAAAAACAAATTATTATTTCAAAAATATTCAAAACTTCTTAATCTGTCAAAACTCAATTAGATGTGTTACGTTTAAAACAAAAGCGTTATAAATTAATAGGTATACATTTAAAAAATAATAATGGACATTAATAATATTTTTGCGTGAGAAACGTTCGAGATATGCGAGTATTTATGGGTTATTTTTATGTTTGTAAAACACGTTTAATAAGCGAATTACGAAAATTAACGAAGACGATGAAAAAATATTTTCTTTCCGTGAGGCGATTAACATAAAATTAATTAATTATGTAGGGCAACAAGGGTTGTACCAGCTGTTTTTTTTTTTTTGGTTTTTTAATAGGAATTTTATTGAAATGTCTTCATTTTTCTTTTTCTTGATATTTTCTAACGGTGGAGTTATTTAAACCTGTATTATACTTTTGTTTTATTTCCAGACCTTTGAAAGTGGTTTTGTTGTGATTATAATAACAGTTTGGGGTTTCGCTCGTAAAATTATGTTACCTGCATGAAAAATGATGTCTATATTACAGTGTATTATTATTTTCTTAATATCAGAGCAAAATATAAAGGATTCGGGTTCACTGTACAAACCGTCGTAAATATAAACGGTATTTTACAATCAATTGATTACATTTTATAATTCATTGTATTTCTATTGCGTAAATATGTGACAATTTAAATTGAAAGTTGTATTGACAATAATCTTATTTTTTATGTTATTGAGTTGTCTTCGCGAGGTTTTCAGTATACGCCTGACAAATAATACGATGTTGTTGGTACTATGCAAGTTTAAATTATCAAGAGTATTGAATAAACGGATACGTAAAAAAAAAAAAAAATGGAAAAGCTTTTAAAAAATAAAAACTAATATAGTTATTCGTTGAAAATTACAGTTACAAATTACAGGTTTTTACAAATATTTTCGATCGAATCACAAAAAAAAAAAAAACCAAAATCAATTCTGTTAATTATGATTTTAGTTGTGCTAAATTATCCAGTTTTTCCTAGATTATTAAAAAAATTACAAGGAAAATAAAAAAAATTATCTTCTTAATACGTCAATTAGATGAAATTTCTTTAAGAAACTATCTCTAATGTTGATCGTTGGAACAATATTCCATGTAGATAACTTGTTTATATGCAGAAAAAATATGTATAAAAAAACAAATATATTATTAGGTATGTACTGCAGGCTATATGCTTAAAATCTAAAATCTAAAAAAAAATCCACAAATACAATTAAAATGTATTTAAATAGGATCAAATTATAATGTGTGTTAACATGATACAATATTAGAGTTAATTTATATTTTATAATATTTTCTTTTGGGTTTATAATGCTTTTATTTTAGATATTGATCACACAAGAAATTATTACTTTTTAAAATGTTTAATTTGATGTCGAAAAAGTTGTCAGAGTATCAATACTCTGAAATATAACAAGAAACTATATTTTATCTTTATTAACCAGAGTATTAATTACGTAGTTTTATGTAATTATTTTTATTACTTGTGTAGGTATAATAAAATTAGTTCACTTTGAATAAACCACTACGTCACCATGACGATGTTGTATATGATGTACATTATACAGATCATATATATCATGACACTATTGTAATATTCGTTTAGTTATAATTAGAGACCGGATTTATATTCTCTTGTAATCTACAAAAAGACGCATTAAAACATCAAAAATCTCTGAAAATAACATTTACAAACATTTTAAAAAATAAAAATGACAAAGGAGTTTAAAAGCCACCCCACAAATGGCTCTAACTTATTAAATTAAATTTTCTAACACTACAAAATTGATTCATAGGAAATACCTAGTTTCTTTTAAATAAAATCGTTCGTATTTTAAAAAAAAAAAAATTACTTTTTATTAATAATTTTATTATGTTAGATGATTGTATTAATGAATTGAATCCGTTAGAGGGGGAACTATTAAACCCCTATAATATTTTTGCGTTTTTATATATTTTTAAGTGATTTTTTTTTTAAGGCTTTTTGACAGTTTTCAAGGGCTTTTTTGTGGATTAAAGAACATATAAATCCGGTATCTAGTTATAATAATCTAATATTATTTAATTAAGTGATTGCTATTAATTTTAAATCTACACGCATGACAATGTGGAACTGTAAATATTATTTCTATTCAAAACTTGTATAACGGTTGATTTCGATTCTTTTCAAAAGTTTTTGAATAGATGATAATGTGGGCGACTGCGAAGACTAGTCGAATAACGTTCTCAGCAACAGGAAACCATTATTTTATAAATGTCTTGTAACTTACTTTTCTCTCACAACAATAACCGAACGAACAGACCGAAACTTACGCGAAACTAAAAGATAACAAATATAATATATATGTATTATATATAATATGTTGTTTATTATTATAGGTGCGTAAACTTGAAAACGAACGAGAATCGAGATTTTCCTTTCAACATAATAATATTGATTCAACTGTATAGGCTTAATACCTCCATACCTACCTATACATTATATATACACACACCAGTAAGGTATAAAGGTATATAAGTAATAAGTAGCAATAATAACATAATATAATATAATAGTTATTACTGATACTTTAAGAGGATGTTAGGGCAAGCGTTAGCGAACATAATAATATTATAAACCCTATGTCGAGAAATCGTTTCATCTCGAAACGAGTATTAATAATCTATAAATCTGAAAGGAAGTGTGGTTGTAGGTTTGTCCGTTAGTGCACGATCCACAGCCGAATACATATTTCGGAGAGATCTAAATTTAGTATTTTTGGTTTTTGTTTAGTGAAAGATCTAAATCTATTTTGTATTTTTTTATCCGTGAACAACTTTTCTACCAGCAATTCTGCTGAAAATAAATTTTTCAGGAGGCCATTTTTTTGATTTTCTTAGGGATTTTCATAATGAATGGAAAAACGGGAAAATATATGAAATTTATTATTTTAAAATCGTAAATATTACGGCCTTTCAAAACATTTATAATGGATAACCGACTCCGTTCAGAATCGTTTATCGTTAGCAATGGTAGATCGTTGCGTACACATAAACGTTGAAATTCCCCTCTACTTTTCCGAGTTCTCGCTTATAACCGTGGCCCACCCACCGTGTGAAGTATGTTCGTTTATTTTTAAAATGATTTTTCAAAAAATCTGCTAAAAGTGGTGAAATAAAAAGAAAAACAGAATTAAATTGGCACGGGCAACGTCTGGCAAGAGCTGAGCTATAGGTAACTAATAACAATAATAATAATTTTAAGTATTCATAACCAATTAGATTTTATTTTATTTGACAGTTAGATACACAGGAGTAGAAATTAAAATAGATTAATTTTTTTAAAACCTCTTATTAGTTATTAATTATTATGAATACATTTTTAAAAAATGGAATATTTTTTCCTGTAAGAATATTGAGATTAAATTAGAAAATAAAAAGTTTCGAGTTTTCATACGTGCAGGAATTTCAAAAAAAAAGTTTGTTATCGTCTTCAAAAAATACATAACGATTAGGAGTTGTGATAATAGGCAAAGGGTATATAGGTATTAAATTTAAATTACTCGTGTATTTTAAAATAAAGAAATTAACGCCGTTGGAAATTTTTAATTATTTACAATAATAATAATAATAATTATAATGTACACGACTATAATGGCGTGTTGAATTAAATGATCTGATGGAATAATATAATAATGTTAATAATAAATATGTCATGACAAAATATCGATTTATAGTTTGGAAACCACCTATGCTAATTGGTCATTTGTGTAAATGTTTGTAAGGACGTTAGGATAGAGTTAATCATTAATATAGGATGCGATTTTCGCAAAGGACAAGGTAAGGGAAATAGACGAGAATGGTAATATTATGAAATTTTGTTTCACTAGAGTGCATTGAGGAGACAAGTCGGCGAGGAAAAGACGCCAAGCTATCAAGAAGAAGTCACTATAGGACGATTTGTAAAACAAGTCTCCAGAACAATGGACGAGGAATCAGGTTTGACAAAAACTACGAGTACTATAATAGAGTATGATATTTTGTCTCACCCACTTGGTGAAATTGTTGTTCAATTCGTGGAAATATTTATCCATTGTATGAAATGAAAAAAATGATTTTTATTATATTGGATGTAGTTGAGTTAGTTTTTGATTTTTCTTGTCGTTTTTTTCTTTATGAATGGAAAAAAACGTAGGAAAGTAAGAAAAAACCAGGAAAGTTTATTGTAATAACAATTTCATTATTTTCGATTGAAAATAATCGCATATACTTCAGATGTTTATAATAACTTTTTTTACCAGAAATCTTGCTCCGATTTTCAACTGTAGCACCTTTCCTGGAAGAAAACTTTATCTGGGTGGTACTTTAAACTAGCCATAATTTGGTTTTTTGATTTTACATAATTTTTATTCGTGTAGATAAATTTTTAGACCAAACAGAATTGATTGAACATTTAACGTAATGTTATACTTTGTGAATTTTAATCTTTCAATCTTTTTTAACCTGAAGAACCAGGTTTTCCTCATTATCTCGTGATTAATGTGTATTTTAAAAAATGACTTCTTTAAAGTATCACTCAGAGAACATTTCCTTTCAGAAAAGGTGCTATACTTGATAATCCGTGTATGCTTTCTGGTATAAAAACTGTTGAAATAAAAAATAAATTAAAAATAAACATCATTATAAAACCAACATATTTCTCATTTTGTTTAAAAGCTAAAATTGAGTGTATTGTACAATTTTTTTTTTATAGGCATTTTATCATCGGATTTTATTGAAAATCATAAATATTACGACTTTTCAAAATATATATAACCGAATTTCGCTTCGAATCGTTTTTCGTTAGCAATGGTTTGTCGTTACAGGTATAAACTAAGTAACTCTGTTTTACCTTTCTATTTACTCATTTACAACAGTAACTGCACTCATCTCTAGTATCAGCTCATTTTTTTTTTATGCATCCTAGTCAAAATTTAATTTATGAACATTAATATTATAATATTATAGCATCTACTTAAAATTAAATTCTGAGAATACAGTTTCGCTTAGTAGATGTTTTTGATACTGCTATAATGAATTATATAAACAAGCAACTAAATATTAATGGCTTAAATTTTAAATCAAGGGATAAATTATAACCAACTGACAGTGTATTATATAATGTGTAAAAAGCATGTCTTATATTTTCTGCATGATATAAAAACTACATGTTAACAACGCAATCATATTCACGTTTATAGGATCTACAACAACTTTTGTTTTTATTGGCTGACTCAAGCGTAATATATCATCAAAAGCATTCCAAAATTCCAAGATTACGGTACTATGGTTGAGTTTACGGAAAAGATACTTATGATGTACCTACCTTTTAAAGAACAGTATTTTCTATGCTTGGATTGAATGATTTTATTAATACTTTGATTTATTAATAAGTTATAAAAGTCAAAATTAAGAAAAATTTAGTTAAATCAATCACATGTATCTTGTTAAAAAAAATATTTAAAAAGAAATCATTAGGCCAAGTCAATAATGTCTGTCAAGTTGGAATAATACTAGAAATGCACTACTGGTATCAACGTTTTTCTATGAATTTGTTAGATTTTACTAGGGCATTTTTGGATTTTGATAGGTCTTTTTAACTTCTGAAATCTACAAACAAATATGCTGGTGCTATTTTTGTGACTGCACCGGCACATAGTTCGGTTAAAAAATAAATATGTCAATTTATTCAGATGAATTAGTTAGATTTTGCTTGGATCCTTGTCACTTCCGGGGAAGTTTCAAATTTTTATGCTAGCACCGGTATATTGTCCGATTAAAAACAAAAAATACGTTAATTTATTAAGACGAATTTGGTATATTTATGACTACGCCGACACATAGTCCGGTTTGAAAAATATACTCCAATTTATTCAGATGAATTTGCTAGACTTTGCTAGAGTAATTTTGAATTTTGCTTGGACCCCTGTCGCCTCTGAGAAAAGTTTTAAATTTGTCGTTAGCACCGGCATGTTGTTGGATTCCATACAAATATGTGCCAATTTATTTAGGCAATTTCAATAGATTGTAATACTGTTCATATACTTTCAATAATATAATATTTCACCACTTTTTTTAATATCAATACCTATTACCAAGTTATTAATTTTTTTGGTTTTACAATCAGCAGTCAAAGGTCGCAGTCGCCAGTTCTTTTAATGGGTGGGTGGTGATGGGTCCATAATGGGTACCTGAGTCATATTTTTTATTAAATTGGTACGTACGGAATATTAATTGAGAGTGTCATATGCGAGTTTGTTTTGTAAACGGGGAGTTGTGGTCTATATGATTTTTTACCTGCCCACTTTCTTTCGAACATGGTTCGGCGTCATTGACAATCAGTTTATCATCGATTTTATACATTTCCGTTTTATTTTATTGCCTATAGCCAACGCATAACTCCGTGATTTTGTATTTATTTTAATTAATGTCTAAAGTTATGTAATATTTTGTGATTTTGTATCCAATACTTGTTCATTCATTGTTTTCAAATAATACATTAATAATAGTGGTAGATATCTATAGTGATTTCATAATCTACCTATTTACTAATTACAAACAAATTTAATTAATTGAAGTTTAGTAATTTATTATTAAGTTTTTAAACATTACGAGGAAATAAAATATTAGGTACGTATATAAAATCACCTGGCCATCGAGTCATAATACGGTTTACACCATCTGGAAAATTCCCATTTACAGACCGGCCACTCTATCCTTGGCTATCATCAAGAATCAACTTACCATAAAACTTATCATCTTCTACATTGGTACATTTGTAAAACGTTTTAAGGGAAAAATGTTTTTCACACATAAACATAATTTTGGTTAGAATCATAGAATATGTGCTGGTGCTGACACAAATTTGAAATCTTCCTCGAAGTTGATAGGGATCCTTGCAAAATCTAACAATTCGTTTGAATACATTGACGTATTTTTTTTAAATTTTTTTTTTTTGGGATCGGAAAATGTGCTAGGGCAGCCACGACGATAGCACTGGCACATTTATTCGGTGATTTTCAAAAGTTTAGGAGCCTTGTCATAATCCAAAAATACCGTATCAAAATCCATAAAATTCCTAGCAAAATGTCGATACCAGTGTTTTATATAGTCCTAGCATAATGTGCCAGTGTAAACTTGACAGGCATATTCTTATTTATAAAATGTTTAATAAGTCGCTTTGCTCTAACTCAACGAGAGAGTCGCAATCGTGGAAGTCGAGAATGCCTTTGTTGTTAGATTACGCGCGAGACAGACAGAGAAAACAAATGACGGTAAGAGGTACCTTAACAAATATTTATTCAAATTATTTATATAATAAATAAAGTTATATTCGTATTCGTTGACAGTGCAGCTTACTTAAAATTAATTGAATTTGTATTAATTTAATGTACTGATGATCTACGTTTATTTATTAACACTAATCTATAGTTTTTAATGCGAACGATGCTGTTTACTTTTTATACACAATAACAGAATTAATGGAAAAATTTGTTTCCACTTACATATTAAAAATATAGGCGGTACGGTACGAACTTTGTCATTTAAAAATCCGTATAGAACGTAATAACGATTGATGAAGACATTATGCGGTATTATTATGTAGTTTACGTTATGACAAAGGTGCGGATGAATGATGTGAAAAAAAAAACGAGAAGACACAAAAAGACGTTGTACGGACGAATAAATGAGCAAGTCGAGTCTCGAGTGTTATAAAACAATTAAACGGACAATAATAAAAAAAAAAACATCGACCAGTATATTCGTTCGATTTCGTTTTTGGTCTTTTACGGGTTATTCAATTTTATTTGTTCGATATAATTTATATAAACAAGTACTACGTACTATTACAATGTTCGTATTATTATTGTAATATGATATTGCGTCGTGACTGGAAAAATATCGTATGGGAATAATATTATATTTTTTAAACGATTCGTACACGATGTTTTGCATTTTTGCGACGTATTCGTTAAGGGGACGCTATATCTGCATGTGCTGCCTCAGTCCATCTAACGGACAATAAAGCAAAATCTATTTTGCGCAGACTGAGTAAAACTTGCTTAATTTTGATTTTACAGTAAAATCTCGTGTTGTAAAATTAAAAGTGAATAATGTTCCGGAGGGCAAGACGATGCGTTTTTCCTATTATCATTTCGGATATAACGTTTAATATTTCTTTTAGAAATAAAACTATCGTTTTTAAACGGCAGTAGCATTTCAAAAAAACAAGACGCATCTCGTCTTGTCCGTCTTCTTTTACTATCTAAAACCAAAATTAAGAGAACTCTACACAGTCCTCGGCAAGGTAGATTTTACTATATTGTCGGTTAGTGTTGAACTGAGGCATGCGGGTATGGTATCCTCTTAACCAAAAAAAAAAAAAAAAATAAACAAAAAAATCTGCGTCGTCCTTGAATCCTGGAGAAGACCTACCGTTAGCCCACCCGTGCACTGTTAACCACGTGAAATCATATTATTGTACGTTCGAGGCGTGTTTCGATGCGGGTTTTCGGTATTTCGAAACATTTATGTTTGTTTACACGCGGTCGTTGCGTATACATAGGTACCGATGTGCCGACGCCACCGTAAACGTATATTTCAGTTATGTAATTACACGATACGTATTGCGACGGTATCGACGAAAAGTTTTACGAGGAGCATCACGCACACGAACTGCACGCGGTTGGAATTGTGGTTTTCACGATACGTATTATATATATATATATGTATTTACATACATACTGTTTGTCACAACCTCGACGGTTGAGGGGGTGTTGCGGGAAAAGGGAGGAAAGTCATAAAATAAAGGCGACGACAAAATATAATCTCTGGTAAATATCGAAAAAAAGAAAAAAGAAACTTTTTTTTCCGAGGCACGCGCATAGGTTAGGTTGGGGTATCCGCGAAAGGACGAGCGGCGGCGGCGGCGGTGGCGGCTACGCAGCGGAGGACACGACAGCAGCAGGTGTCACCGACTACAGTATTGTGTTGTTTCAAACATCCCGAAAACTGTACGCGCCGGGTATTGACGTCGGGAAATTTTTTTATTTTTATTTTTTGTCGGTAATCGCGTGAGATCCCGGACGTTTCGTAATATGCAATAAAAACAATAATAACAATAACAATAATGGAGAAATAATACGTGAAAACCGTATCTCGACGCGTTAAAACGGCTTTTAGCTTCTAACACGTATGTTTGCTGTACGAGTACCTATAACGGCTTATATCGGTTCGTATATCAGGCGTTTTCGGAGCTTCTGTCTCCACACACCGATATAGTGGCCGTCAAATGATTTTGTCGTTTGGCGGTGGGGTGGGGGACAAGGATGATTTTTAAGAACTATTATTATTTACGTAATATTTTTTTTACCACTTTGAAGATAAAATATTATATGCACGGTGATTTTTATAAATGCGCTCATTCTATTTGGTTAAATTACGCATAAATTCGAATTGTGTATTTTGAATTTTTAAATGCGCATTGAACGGCGATATATTTGCGTACTTAGATTCTCACAACATTCAAGGTGTATTCTACGGCGATGATAACTTTGGTTTTTCAAATGGTAACCTACGTGTTCTACATGCAAATTATTAATAGGATGATTTTTTTTTATTTTAAATTTTGAAGAATCGAAATTTGAACGAAATATTCCTGAGTTATTCTGCTTTAAGTATTGAGGATAATAGTCTTTTACGGGGATTGGATACCAATTTTTTCAATGTGTACAGATAATTTATTGTTTTCATTCGTATATAAGTTATTGTCCTTTAGTATCATTTTTCGTTGAAATTTCGATTAGAATACGTAAACATTTTCAAAAAAAAAAATCATCCGATTGATAATTATTGCATCAAAACTTATAGGTTCTGGTTAGAAAAATTTAAGTCGATATTGTCACAAGATAGTCCTTAAGTGACGCAAAAAATTTAAATTTTTCGATAAAACCGTCTTTCACTACATCTGAAAATTTTAAATATCAGAATATAATTTAACTATAAAAATGGGGCGATTACTGAGCATGGTTAAAAAATCACCGTGTTCATTATTATAAATACTTAAATATTTAAGAAAAATGACTTCAGGAGGACGAATCTCTCCCGCTATCCCCCCGTTTGACCAACCCTGCACCGATATCAGTACTCAATACGCGCGTGTCAACAAGAAATTGAAATAAATTCAATTTATCGGTGAATAGCGTAGAAGAGATAGGGTCTTAATATTACTATTTCTCCCGTCCTGTAACAGAAGTCAAGTAACGCACGACACAAACGGCAAGCAAGAATCTGAATAAAATCTAACAAGAAAATAATTATCATGCTGAATATGAGTTTCAATACTCCTAACGGCTAACACAAACCTCTAATTACTTATTAATTTATTGTGTGTTGCACTTAGGTAGTAATACATTTCGAAATAATAAAGCACATATTATGTACTGATTTCGGAGCTAACTCGGACAATATTTGAAAAAAAAGTACTTGTATTTCTTGACTTCTCTGGTACGTACAGCTTTTACGAACCGATTATCATCGTCACTGTTGTAGGAACCATTTCAAATGTACTTTATCGCGAATAAATACATACATAATTTAAACTATCAAGGTGAACTATATGTTACTGATTTTAATATTAAAATAATAAAAAACTGTATTCAACATTTTATAAAACCAACAAATCTTATTTTACAAGAATCTAATTAATGCGAACAGATTTAAAATAACTCGGATAAAATGTATTAAATTTAATTTTAAAAGCGTAGTTTATTTTTGACGAATTCATTTTAAAGTGAAAGTAAAAGTTAACAAAAAAAAAAAAAAAACACTCAATAGTTTTAAATTTCGGAAAATTCAGATATTTGTCGTATTAATCTATTCACGAAAAACCATAATAATCTGTGATTGATATTATATTGAACCACTTGTCTAATAAAATATTTTACTCGGGAGTTTCACAACAAATCAAAAGATATTTTTGGTTTGCTGACAAAGATCAACAGAAACCCCCGAAGCGTGTGAAATG